GAAGCACCTACCAGCTTCGCTTTGATGTATCTGAGCTCCCAGCATCACTACTCTTGCACTTTGGGGCCATTATTAAGTAAAATAAGTGTGTCTTGCACACAAGCATTTGGTACAATGGTAGTCAATCTGATAACCGAAGCAGCGATTAAGTGACTAATGGGTGGGGATAGTACACTGCGTGGATATGCTGGGAAAAGGGATGAGTCATGTCCCCCCAGGGACAGGGAAGAGATTTTATCATACTGCTGAGAATGGTGCACAATTTAAAACTTATTAATTGTTTATTTCTGGAATTTTTCGTTTAATAGTTTGGGACCACAGTGGACAGCGGGTAACTGGAACTGTGGGTATTGAAAGTGCAGACTGCTGGGTGTCTGCATTTGTAACAGATGCACCGATGAGGTTGATGCTCACGGTCCAGGACTCGCCCTTTGGGAACCCCTAGTGAGGGCAGGGGAGGGGGGTTGCTTGGGCAGTGGTTCAAGTGATGGAATGAACGAAGGGAATGAGGGAGAGGGACGGCCCTGGGTGGAGGGGCTGCCCTCTCACTGGGAGGAGGCGAGGCCAAGGAGACTGGCCGTGTTGCTTCGTTCAGTGCACTGTTCTCCACACTTCCTGTTGCATCTCTTGTTGCCTTTGACACCTCCTCCCTTTGGTTAAACCATTTTCTCCTAGCTTCCCTCCGTCCCTCTGAAAATGTCTTTTCTTTTGTGCTTCTTCCAGCATTTCCTGGGCTCCAATCTTGATTCCTTTTCCCTGGGAGAAAGTTGGGGGTTCTTCAGCAGCCCTCAGAGCTTCAACTCTCTCCTGTGACATAGGAAACACTCAATGGGTTTGTAATAAAAGTTTAGAGTCTAATTGCGGCTCTTCTCTGCTCTCCAAAAGTCCATAGAGCTAGGACCTTACCTATCGCCTTTATCCTAACATTTCTTCTCACACCCAGAACAATATGGGCACACAGTAGGTGCTCAATAAATATTTATGGACGAAGGAGTAATCCCCTCACCCTTCTGCCAGTTCTGTGACTGCAGGCAAATTACTTAATCTCTCCAAGTTTCCATCTCCTTATGTGTACAATGGGATTAGAAATAGAATTCACCTCTTAGGAGCTGCTTTGGGAAACACAGTAAGATAACGCATGTGAAGTGTTTAGCACTTAGCAAACATTAACTACTATCATTGTTTTTATTGTTGGTCCTTGTGTGACTTTGGGAGAGCGATTGAACTTGTCTAAACTTCAGTATTGTCATATTCAACAATTACTTTCCCGCTGGGCCGTTGTGAGAGTCTGGCCAATAGTAGGTGTGTAATAAAGGCTAATTGTCTCTCCCCAAGCTCTCCCTTTCCCCACCCCTAGAGACCCCTGACTGCACTAGAGTGTTTTATCTCTTGAGGGGCTGACCGGGTGACAATGGGAAAAAAGTGTTGGGGATTGTGGCTGAGCTCCCAGGCATTGTTTAGAAACAAAGAACATTCCTTTTAACCTCAGAAGATCTACATCCCATTAACATTCATTCCCTTCAACTGTGTCTTCCTAAAGAGATTAGTTTAGGCTAATATTGAAAGAAATAAAATTAAAAACAAAATGTGGAATCAACTCAGAGTCATTTAGAGTCACCTCAAACAAATTTGGGAAAGCAAACATTCTTGGGTATTTCTGCTATATTTGGAACTAGTCTGAATTCTCCCCCGAAGGGTCTAGAATAGGGTCAGCTTTCGTGGTGGGTGGTAGTCTTTTTAGTTTTATTTTTTTCAGTGGCTCTCTATTCTCATCTTGTTAGCTTGTTTCCACTCTCCTCCAGCGAAATAGGTCTGTAATGGTCCAGAACCTTCAAGAGGGGCCTTTTGCAAAGCTACCAGTGCATTTATAGATAATGCTGGGGGACACCCATCAGCATTTTCTAGCCTAAGGGTTATTTATTGCTGGGAAGAAATGCTTCAAGAGTCCTTAGCTCGTATACTAAAAAATTGTTATTGACTGAGCCAATCATAGCCTATTGCAAACAAACCACAGAAAATCCCCCGAACACAACTTTCCTGTCCTCTTTCCCAAGCTCTGTGCCAGAGTTTGTCATAAAGACCAGCAGAGATATGTAACTCTACTTACATATCCCAGCTGTGTGGAACCAAAGGATTGGGGCCAGGATTGTGAAAAGTTTGTTCATTTAAAATGTTGATCCTTTTTATAATCTGGATCTCCTTCATTGCTTCCAAAGGGAAACACAAAATAACATTTCCTTCCTCTTTACACATTCCATCCCAAAACAAGCCACCCCAGGAACCCCACGGAGTGGCCAAGTAATTCCTGCAGTGTCCTAGCTAAAAGTCCTAGCTGGCACTTGCTTATGCCTTCCGATGTATTCCAGCCACATTGCAAGCTCCTCCCCTCCATCTCCAATTCTTGATCACTTTTAATCTATAAAATAGATTGCACAATGGCATAGACCTTGGGGACTCTCTAGGTTGGCTCTGAGGACCAGTTTGTGTCTGGGTCAAGATCAGCCTGCCTTTACGGAAAGACGTTTCCCTGGCTTTCTGAACCTAGGATGTGAGCCAAAGAGGTTTTTGGAACAGTTCTCCTTCCGACCCCACAGCCAAGCTCTGCATCCCCAAAGTTATTTCTTGATCCTTTGAAATGAAGAGTTGTTTTCCTACTGAGGAACACTCTCTGGTGTTCCATGGGCTTGCCCGGATTTAGTGATTCAAGCCTCTACCTTCTGGGTTCCCAAGTGAGTCACTCCAGGGCTGCTGTCCAGCCACAGAGGGGCAGAGCAAACCGTTTAAGATCGCCCCCAATGTACTGTGACACTTTGAACTACTCAACTTCTGTGGATTCTGTCTCCCTTTGAATTTAGGATATAGGGTGTGACAGCTTGAAGCACTTAGAACCCAAAATAAAAGATCAAGAAAAAGACATTAAGGGCTTGATTAAATTATTATAGGGGTCAGAGCCAAAGACAGTAATTACCTATTGATTAATGGGTGGTGCTGGATTAAAATCTCAAAGAGTACAGGAATCTGAAGCTCTCCGAGACAATGAAATAATTAGAACAGCGATAGTAGCATCCATTTACCTATGTGGTCAACATTCAAGTTTCTGGTTTGGGCTGTGGGCATTCAAAGACTTATAATTAATACAATCTATATTCAGAAAAATGCCTTTTCATGTTCTAGCGCTGAGCATGCATCATGAGCATCGGCGTGTGAAAGAGGTTGGGAGCCTGTCGTTTCCAAAATAATGACTCATGCGACAAAGAGTAATTATATTTTATTTTATGATCTGAGCAGTAGCAGTTCTGAACTGGCTGCTTCCCAGGATCAACTGGTGAATCTCACTTACCAAATGGCTACGTTAGGAGGGGATATGAGTTCGGGACTTCTCAGTGTGAAAGGAAAAATTAAATAATGAACAGCCAAATAAAAGAAACAAAAAAATGGGGAACTGATGTCCGACAGGGCCTACATGTTGAAACTGAAGACAGAGAATCCACTAGATGGGTGACTCCTGTTCTCACCAGTGGCCCATTTTTCTCCCCCAGCCTCTTTGAGAGGAGGTCTAGCAGTTTAAGAGCGGACAACCAGGGTTTGAATCTCAGCCCTACTCTTCATTATCAGTGGAACATGGCCACACGGATGAGTCTTTCGATGCCTCAGTTTCCCTTTCTATTATGGGCAAATCAGCAGTACCTCCTTCACAGGGTTGCTGTGGAGCTGTATAAGGAAAACCCTTAGGAGACTGTCCAGCATACAAGTAGTAGAGTTTGTTATTGCTTAGCAGTCCATCAGGCTGACTATCAAAAGCATTTTTCATCTCAGCACTTTAGGATGAGCTAAGGCTCCAGTGAAATGTTGTGTTTTTCAACAAAGATGGGACTTGGATGCTGCCTTTTATTGCCTGTGTGTCCAGAGAAATTACACGACCTCTCTGAGCTTCTATTACTTCCTTGCTTGTAAAATTAAGGTTAATAACATGCCTCCCAGAGCTCCTCTGGGGCTTATGAGACAAGAGGGCCTGACACCTGGTAGTGGAAGGCAAGAAGCAAAATTTGGTTTCTACTCTTTTTCCCACATTCACACTTTCACTGGGCAGAGCCACTGGGATTGAATGGAACAAGGGAACGAACAGCACAAGTTAATCAAAGTTAAGAGGATTTCTTCCTCAGCTTCATCCCAGCCCCTCCCCCCCTCCCC